TGAACATGGGCCGGCAGTGTGGGGATGCAGTCAGGAAGGCCAACCGCACCTTGTCGTGCATCCACACATGCATCTTGAGCAGGTCCAGGGAGGTGATCCTCCCCCTCTGTGCGGCACTGGTCAGGCCGCAGCTGGAGTACTGCGTCCAGTTCTGGGCGCCGCACTTCAGGAGGGATGTGGACAACATGGAGAGGGTCCAGAAGAGGCCACTCACATGATCGGGGGCAGCAGGGCAGGCCCTACAAGGAGAGGCTACGGGACCTGAACCTGTTCAGCCTCCACAAGAGAAGGCCGAGGGGGATCTAGTGGCATGTTACAAACTAGTCAGAGGGGACCAGCAGGCACTGGGGGAGTCCCTGTTCCCCTGAGCACGACCAGGAGTGACCAGGAGTAACGGTCACAAGCTGGCAGAGGGTAGATTTAGGTTAGATGTCAGGAGGTGCTACTTCACTGTCAGGGTGGCTAGGATCTGCAACCAGCTTCCAAGCGAAGTGGTGCTGGCTCCTACCTTGGGGGTGTTTAAGAGGAGGTTAGATGAACACCTTGCCGGGGTTGTTTGACCCCAGTACTTTTTCCTGCCATGGCAGGGAGTCAGACTTGATGATCTGCTCAGGTCCCTTCCGACCCTAGAAACTATGAAACTTGTTTGGCTATTGGGACATTAAATACTTGGCTGTTGGGACATAAAATTAACACGAGGGTACTTTTTTAGTTTTGTTTACTACATATAAGTCAAATAAACATGCTAAATCAGATCACACTGTATTTGGGGCATTGGAAAATTTTGTGGAAAATTTTCCAATTCAAGATTTTCCAGAAAACCCACTTCTCTGGTTGCCGTGGAACGAGTCAGACCATAGGTCCATCTTGCCCGGTCTCCTGTTGCACGGGGTCAGAGTGGCTGCTGACAGGGAGAGCGAGTTGGGTAGGACCAGGGTTTTTTCCTCTCACTTCTGAGCTCCCAGCACATGAGGTTAAGGAAGTTGTGATTCAGAGCCCATGCCCCTCACTCCTGATGCCCCTTTCCTCCTAAGAATCTCTTGATGAATCTGGCTGAACTGCCACAAAGGAGCGCAGGAAAGGGAAGGTGCCATTTGTGTCTCACAAGATGAACGTCCTCATTCATCTTCTACCAGTGTCTGACTGTGATTCACAGAAGTTTAGGGCTGGAAGGGACCTCGTGAGATCATTGGGTCCAACCGCCTACTCTGGGCAGGAAAGACTGCTGGGGTCAAATAACCACAGCAAGGTGTGCGTCCATGGTAGATGGGTCTGCTGGAGTTGCGGTCTTCAGGGTGAGACTGGCAAGCAATAGGGTGTCCTCTTAATACTGCCTGTGTTGCCTGATGTACTAGTTCTTTTATCCTTCCTACCCTGTGAGCCCCCTCCCCAAGACAGCACCTCTTGCATGGTTGTCTGTAGCCAGCATACCTGCCCCCATGTTAAAGGGACCGAATCCAAGTAGGATGAGCGGCTCTGAAGCATTTACTGTGTTCCTGAAAACCTTCCTTTTGTCTCCTTGAAAGAAAATGTCGCTCTGCACCCTGATGAAGTTCGTGGAGGTGGAAGGGGAGCACCCACTGGTCAAAGCAGAGTGGAAAGGCAGTTTCATTTTTCCTCGTGAGCTTTTAAAAGTAAGTTTTGTGGCTTGGGAGCTGTTGCCACTGTAAGACACATTGTCACGTGCAAAGCCCAGACAGAGGGAGCCTGCGTTCATGCTCAGACTCTGAAGCAGAAAGCTTGGACACCAACTTCCTTGTGTTTGGTGAAATGCCAGAGGTCTAAATTAGGTTCCAGCCAACCAAATATCTCTCCAGGGCTACTAGTGTGCATTAGATGCTGACTTGCTGCTTTTTTTTCTTTTTAATTAACCCCCTTTGCTAGGTAGTGGTGGAGAGCTTAATTCCCTGCGAAGAGGATTCCTCGCTCCTCATCTCGCGCTTCCAGGAATATCTGGAATATGACGATGTCCGTTACTTCGTGATGAAGGCAGTGACTGAAAATATTGGGCAAGTCATGCAGAAGACTAAGGAGGTAATGGGGTATTGCGGCCATGGTGGGCCTGGGAGACCCTCACTGTGGAAACCACCACTAGCAGGCAGTGTGGGTGTCACCACCTGTACCTGGGAAGGCTCCTCTGCTGCACCGTGGAGCTATCTGAGTGCTAGGATCTAAAACAGGCAGATGGGTGTGCTAGCTTCCATATGCTGAGACACAGCCGCTCTTTTATTTGTCTGACCCAGTTTTGCAGAGAGCTGCCCTCAGGATTAGCTAGGACTGGCCAAAGGGGGGCTCTTTGGTTAGCTTTACAGAAGCTCATTGATGAGGTTCTGGTTTCTGCTTTACCCTGACCTTTACATTTGGTCAGGGCAGAGGAAAGCTTTTGATTCTGTTGCCTCTAATGGATGAACATAGTTAGTTTGCTTTCTCTGATGTCATCAGCAGGGTTTTTGATTTGCAGAATCAGAGGTGAGACTATATAGAGTGTAAAACTCGAGTGTGGGAGTGTTAATTAAGACCCTGCCAGTGCTGGTCTGTGCCTGGTATTAACTCCAGGTCTTTGCTTTAATATATGTCAAGGTAAATCCTATCAGTGCACATAAAGTGAATGAATGTGCCCTGGGATCCTTTGTATAACTAACCTCTGTGCATCCTTTTCTTTCCCTTCCTAGATTCCACTGCCTGTGTACCAGCAAAATGTATTTTCCCTCATTTCATCCATTAGCATGCCGAGCAGAAAGACTGAGCTTGTCAGTTTTATGGTGAAGCAAGGTTAGTTGCTATTACTGGGATGTTTTGCATATAAGAGAGAAAGCATACTCAGATTTTTACCCTGCACATCAGAGTATTGACTTCTGTTAGTATTTTCTGATACTTGTCTTTCTCCATGCTTTGAATTAGGGGATGCAGTTCTTTTTATATGCTTTTGAGAGCCCTCCACTTTTCTGCCCTGCACTGCCTCTCAGAGCCATCATTTTTAGCTGCTTGTGGGGAAAGTAAAAGTCTGATGGATGGTGTGTGAGCTGGAATAAGAAATGTCATACAGGATTTAGATGTATCAGTGTGGTTCAAAATTATCAGCTCCAGACTGGTATGTGGCTGGTTTTGGTCCATTCAGTTGGCATGTTATCTTCCCTTTTCATCCACGGCTTCTTAACTCAGATGGCTTTAACAAACCGTAGCATCTGAATAACTCGGAAGCTAAATTTATTTTCTCTCTATATTAGAGCAAACCACAGCAGCAGGAGAAAGTCCGTTGCTGTTTAATTACTCTGCTTGAGCTTGCCTGGAAACACCTTGCCTCACGCAGCCCCATTTAGATTTTGACTGAAATGGAACTTAAAATCACTCCGTTGGCAGTGGCCGACTGTGATCATCAGCATGCAGCTATTTCAAAGGGAACAGCTGTGGGGGGTTTCTTCATTACTTGCCTTTTCAAATTAACCTTAAACTTGTTTTGCTTTTATCTTTAAACAGATCACCTGGAGGAATGGAAGGTGTCAAAGCTCAAGGTAACCTGTTGTTTGGGGGGTAGGCAGAGTTGTACCTTGTCCTTGTCAGTTCTCTGAGCTTATGGTTTGCTTATGCTTGTTTTAAGGAGCACAAGCGGGCCTTTGAGAGGATGTGGCTGGTCTTCCTGAAATACAAGGTGAGTGGTGAATTCATTTGCTGTCTCCTGTTATTTTTTCATCTGCCGCAGTTCAGGCTTGGAAATCTTTACACACCCTCTGTACAACTTAACCCTGGAGTGGATGCTCTGAAGACAGTAGATAGAAGCAGGCAAATTCACTGTTGCCTGTGCTCTGGGATTAAATGCTGGTGGAAGTCACCACTGTGACATTGTACCTTGCACTGTCCTGATATTTGACCTATGTATTTATTTCTCTTAATGCTCCCTTGGCACACTCTAGTTTATGTCTTTCCCTTTTCCCCCCTAATGCATAGTAGCCAGCTCTGAATACCAGGAGTTGCTCTGAGCCTGGAGCCCTGTGCAGAGCCCCACAGATTTGGGCATGGAGCCCCATAGATTTCAGGGAGGTTCTGGTCAGTCTTCTGGAGTAACTTGCAAGATCAGGCCCATTGTTTCTAAGCCAGGCCAGATCTGTCCAGTGCTTCCTGATATTGTCCCCTGGCCGCCGCAGCTCTTTATGCAGTTGCTGTCCTTTGGATTCCTCCCAGCCCCCATGGTTTGAATGTCATGTTTCCTCCCTCACAGCTACCCAGCAGTTTGTACAAAAAGGTTCTTATGATTCTGCATGACTCCATCCTGCCTCACATGAATGAACCCACCCTCATGATAGACTTCCTGACAGCAGCCTATGACATAGGTGGGTAGAGATGCTGGATCCTGTGCACCTTGGAGAATGACAAAGGACTGTAGGGCTAAAGCCTGAGCAGGGTAGATGTGTGCTGGTTGTGTCCCGCCTCTGTGGGAAGCGACTGAAGGAGGGATCCACGTGGCAAATCAGAAGTGCGATTGCCTTTGGCTGGAAGGGGGTTGGGGCAGTTCTCAGGACCCTGGAGGGTAAGGGCAGGAGGAGTAAACCAGATATATTTCTCTGTGCTTGTTATTGTTCTCCCAAGAAATGGCTTTGTTGTATGAGCCCAGCTTTAATTCCTTGCCTTTGCCTTTAAGGACAAAGTTTAGAAAAAGACAGGCTGTAATGCTGTCTTAAATCAACCCCATTCAGCCCACGCTACCGCAAAACAGTGCAGACTCACAGCTGTGCTGTGTTCGGACTCGAGATACAACACTTCCCTATGGAGGTGCTACTTCTGAGGAGCTTCACTGGACTTCTGATGCCCTTCCTGGGGCACTAGGGCAGCATGTACACGCCTCTTTCAGCCCTGTGCCCTACTTGGGCCTGTTCTTCTAACTATGGCTGAAGTTTTGTTTTTTTAATAACAGCAGGGTCGTAAGTGATCTGTGAGCCTTTGGAAATTTAGTTGGATCGCCGTCCTTTGGAATTTTACAGCCAGTTGTCACTGTTTTCTTATCTTGGGAAGCTGTTTAGCTTTAAGTGTTTTGACTGTCATGCTCTTTCCTTAATGTTTTGCTATAGAAATGGCATAGGGAGACTCTGTTGTTGTTCTGAGATCTCCAGAACAGCAGTTTCTGAATGCCTGAAGAAGGATACTTGTGCCTGAAAGCTTGCAAAGAACTTTGTTCCAATGTCTTTAGACCAACACGGCTACAACCAAAAACCTTGCTACAGAAATTAGTGACAAGTGTCAGCTTTTGCCGCATTTTTATATCTGCTTTGCTTTCTTACAGGTGGCGCGATCAGTCTTCTAGCCTTAAATGGGTTATTCGTTCTGATTCATCAGCATAACCTGTAAGTAGAAAGAATGTTGTCTTCTTTAAAGGAAGGGATTTTGTTTGGGTGATGTTTTGCCTGAGGTTTCTCCTTTTCGCACGCTTGTGTAAATAGAAGGGATGGAAGTACGATCTCCAGTTCTTTGTGCTCTAAAATGCCCTCACTAGATGCCCAGCATGTGGGATGTTGAGCTGTTGCTAATCAGCCCTAATTTGTGGTGTTTTGTCGGGGATGGAGCCCGTCATGTCATCTGGCTCAGATCTCAGGTGCTAAACTTCTGAAAACTTAGTTTAATTTTCCACGAATGCCCCAGTTTATCTCAGGCTGTTGCCACAGAATATTGGCAATAGTTTTGTCGTAAAGTTTTAGGTCCCTTTCTTCATGGCTGGTGAAGGAGGATCATCTGCTGCAGACATTTTCTTTTCCCTAAATCTGTGTTTTGGTGACCACGCCATGCACCGTCCAGTTATTAGTCAAGAGGTGTCTCTACCACAACAAGCTCCCCTATCACAACTGGCTGCCCTGTTGGCAATGCTTGCAGCGTGGCCAGGGATTGATGAGATGTGAAAATGTAATTGCCTTCCTGATCCTCAGAATTGCCCCTCTAGGAAATGGCCCAGGTAGGCTTTCAAGGGTGAGAAACTTGTCTTCTGTCTGTCACTTCTGTGCCCATTCAGTGGATCAGGGGCCTGATTCTGTATTGTTGCTGTCAGTAGGTGCCATCACCACGGATATCAGGCAGTGAAAGCTCTGGTCCAAAAACTGGGATCCAGACCTTCCAAGCATACAAAATTTAACTTTTTTCTTGTTAAAAGCTGAGCTGCAGAGAGGAACTTCCATCTCTGGTAGCTCACTTGAAAGGACCTCCATGAGCCAGTTTCTAGATTAGGGGCCTGGTCTGAGCAAGGCCATAATAAAAGTCAAATAAACTCCCTTATTTACGCTTCTTTCCTTTTCTTTTTCATATAGGGAATACCCTGACTTTTACAAAAAGCTGTACAGCCTCTTGGACCCCTCCATCTACCACGTGAAGTACCGTGCCAGGTTTTTCCGTTTGATGGATTTATTTTTGTCTTCGTCGTAAGTACCTAGCATAGGATATATGCCCATTCCTTTCTCCCTTGCTTTTCTGTCTATCCCGGGTCTGCTTTTGACCAGTCCCCTCTGAGGGCCAACTGGCTATATCTTGCAAGGCTCAAGAGTCAGATTCCTAGTTATGGAGGAGACTGGACTTGAGGGCGCTGTTTAGTCTTCCCCAACCATTTTGCATGAAGAGTTTGAGATGCTCTTTCTCATACCCATACCAATCTGGAAGTTTTCGTAGCCTGGATGAACTTCATGTGTGTTTTTCCTTGCCTCACTTTCAATAGGCATTTACCCGCATATCTGGTGGCGGCGTTTATAAAGCGCCTCTCTCGGCTGGCCCTCACCGCTCCCCCCGAGGCCCTGCTCATGGTCATTCCCTTCATCTGCAATCTTTTCCGGAGGCACCCAGCTTGCAAGGTTCTTGTGCACAGACCCAGCGGGCCTGAAGGTAATTGGGAGCATGGGCAGGGGGCCTGCAGGCTTTTACAGAGCATATGCAGGTGGGTTGGTCTGTCAGCTGGGAAAGGGGAAATCCCAGCTCCGTTCTGCTCCCTGGGCCTTCACAGTCCGTCTGTCCCTTGTCACCAGGACTGTACCCCACTCAGGCTTTCCTCAGGCTTCCTGTGGCCATCTGCCTCTTAGCCTTTCTGCTTAAGTGCAAAGTGCCCCTGGCACCTCTTTCAGAGTATTTGCTACTCTGCCTTGAAGCCAGGAAGCCCTATATGTGGCTTCCTGCATGGCCCATGGCTAGCAGCTGCCATAGTGACCTACATAGTGACTACTCAGTCTGGTGCAAAAGGGCCTGTGATCTGCAGCAGGCGTAGAGTGGTGCCCATGCATCCCAAGGCCTTGTGCTTTGCTGCCACTTGAGGACCTGAATGTTTATTTTAAAAAGGGCAGATTAGTGTAGGTGCCACAGGCTGATGGGGCAGCTCGGTCATCAGGTCCCTGTCTCAGACTGAACTGTTGAGTCTGCGAGAACAGACATTCCCTAAGCCAGTGCTTGTCACTACTGGTGTCCTTGTTGTTTAAACTGGGGACAGGCTGATGACAGCATCGACTCATGTGAGTGACAGGACAGAACAGCACGTGACTCCCATCTTCACCCTGAGTCATCCTGGCTTCTCACCTCTGTTTCCCTGCCAGCCACCTTCTGGACTTAGTTATTTCATTTTGAACATTTGGGACAAGGCACTGGGAGGTCTGCCGGTTGCACCTAGGCAGGCATCCCCTTAAATCACAGGTGTCAGCCCCAGCAGGTTGGGTAGGCATTCCTGAGCTTTTCGGTTGCTTCCTTTCTCTCTACCTTGAGGGCTTGGGTATCATCTTGTGGGGAGATGTGTTAGTTGTGCATTATAGATGTTCCTGTTCCTCTGTCTCAGATCTGTTGGAAGATCCGTACGTCATGGAGGAAGAAGAGCCATCTGAAAGCAGAGCTCTGGAGAGCTCCCTCTGGGAGCTGCGGGTGAGTCTTACCTCTAGCCTGAGTGGTCCAGGACACAACCCTTCCCACTAGCCGTGTGCTGTGCACTCCTGTCCCCCTTGTTCCTTCTGTTGTGTGACTTCACGCTGGGAAACACCACTTTAAGGCATGTAAGTATGGGTAGCGCCCTTTGAAATGAGGCAACTTTCTGGCCAGTATCTGACCTGTGCAAGGACAGAAGAGGACTGAATTGGTGTCATCCTCTGTGTCTTTTTCTTGATGTTTCAGGCTCTTCAGAACCATTATTACCCTGATGTGGCCAAAGCAGCCACCATTGTGAATCAGTCACTGTCAGATATGGAGGATGACATATCGGGGCTCTTGAAGCTGTCTACTTATGAGGTAGGTTTGCTCTGTGCATGTGTCTGTGAATAATACAGGAACCAGGGTGATCCTTTCCTGGTGGGTCTAACAGACTGATCTGCCAGCAGGAGTGTGGTGGGGCTGCAGGACTGTGCCAGTGGATTTACAAGTTGGCTTGTAAAGTTTGCTGGTTCTAGTTTGTCCTAGAGAAATCCCACCCCTGCTCTCATATTGAAGCATCTTTCTGCTGCTGCTTTGCGGTGCCAAGTGCAGGTGTCCTGCTCAAAGCTTTGAGTACCACATTGGCCCCATGTTAGGGGCTAAATGATGCCTGGGGTCTTTGTGCTGGGATGAATTTTGTCTTGCTTGGGACCTTCCCCATCTAACATGGTACCGCCTTGCTCTCTGGGCTGCAGGATGAGAGGTACAGTTCTCTCCAACCAACACCTGCTTCCAGGCAGCCTCCAAGTCTCATGTACACAAAATAAAGCAAAGGCCTAGAAAATCCACCCCAACCCCTCTCTTTCCTGGTCCAGGTGTGTGGGGAATTGGTGTTGGCAGAAAAAATTTCACAGCAGGTTTTTACAGATGCCAGCACCTGATATGATCTCTTCTTTTGCAGCTTTTTGATAGAGAAGTAATGAAAAACACCACCGACGTGCCTCTGGAGTTCGAACAAGTGAGAGGGCTGTTTGGCAAAAAGAATGACATATTTGCAGAGTATTTTGCGCTGGACTGATGTTGCATGTTCCCTGGCTGGTCGGTAGCAAACAGGCCTCTATGGCTGCCCAGCTCTGCTTGTTCATGTGGACTTTCTGGAGTTTTGGGCTTTAAAATAATTCCAGGTAATGGCTGGACTACCCAACGAGGGGTGGTACTTACTTTGGTGGCCTTTGTCAGCAGCTCTGAATGGACTCTTACTCCTTGTTTGCAAACAGGCGCAGTTTTTCACACTGACTGGCTTTTGCGTTTTATCGCCACCCCAGCCTGGAGTTAGTAAACACTTTTTTTATGGGCAAATGATTCTGTGACTCAAGATTCGTGGTCTGTGCTCTTGTTCCTTTCTCTGAAGTGTCTGCTACTGGATGCAGTCAGTGCCGGGGTTGATTTACATAGATCTGGTGGGAATACAGCCTTTTACCTAGCACATAAGGAGGAGGGCAGGTAGAAGGGTTTCTTTCCAGATTTTAAGCCTAGATCCTGCCTTGAAGGATCACAGTTCACTTGAGAATTGTCTGGTGATCTCAAAGTCTTCCAAAGTCTTGTAGGTGATGTTAAAGTCTCCATCTGTTTTACAACCTTACCTAGGCAGGAACCAGCCTAATCAAAGAAATAATAAACATTTCCACTCACTGTGTTGGCTCTTATATTCAGAGGTTAAAAGGAGATTTGTCAAGAGCAGCAGTTAACAAGGCACATCAAGAAACTTGCTCTATTACATGCTGTCAGTGTTAATTGGACCAAATTCTTGCATGCACCTGTGTTGCTCAGTGCAGTATTGTTTTAGCAGAAAACCATGACTGACTAAATGTCACGTGCTTTGAAAATGAGTATAATCTTTGTGATTGCTCAGAGCTAAATGCCCAGTTGAAGAGCAGTGGGAAGCAGTCATTCTCTGGCAGCTCTCTGCTCTGATTGACTTTCCAGAATGGCTTGAAGTTGGTTAAACATAGTGCCATTTATAACCATTTATAAATGGTGTGGATCCAGAAATGTGGCCACTGCAGGAATAGCTGTGTTCCTCTCACTGTTGAAATAACATTGTTTTTGCAGTTGGATGTAGCTAGTTTTGAATGCTGTAGGATGGTTTGGTAAAGAGCAGGCTTGGGCATTGCCAGAAGAGAGGCAGAAGTTTCCATCGGCTTTCGGCTTGTGCTTTGGAAGACGGTGAGTCCCACATCCAGCTAAAGAGTAGCAAGCAGTTTCACTGATTGCATTGTTTGTGTCCACAAGGCAGTTGTATCTTAAATGAGCTGCTCATTTTCTGTTAATTTTAGCTCCACCTTATAAAGGATAAGAAACTGGATGAGTATTTCTGCCATAAGAAATGGATGGTAAAGTCTAGGAGAGCTCATTTTGGGCTGGGGTGGGAGGACAGTGCAAGAAGTTCAAGAGAAGAAGGCAGCCTGGTGGTTTGCGGCTTAAGGGCATCTGGTTTGGTCTCCAGGCATTTGGAGGGTCACGTGTGAAGTAGTAAATACCGGGGGCCATGTGCATGGATTAAACGGACGACTTCTGTGCGCAGCTGCGGGAGTGGTGCTGAGCTCTCGGAGGGCAGAGCTGGACCTGTGTTCTGGGCTTGTTTGCCCTCCAGCAGTTCTGCTGTTATAGCTTCAGATAATCTCCCGAAGTATTTGCTGAGGGTGTTTGGGGAGCTCCACCTCCAGGTCCTATTGAAATACAGTGTTCTTAGGCCCCCTTAGAAGACCCCCGTTTTCACTCTGTAAAGGCAGGTTATACTCCCATTCTCCGGTCCAGTCTGCTTGGCTTTTTCTTGCTGACTTTCGGTGCGCAGGGTGGGGCAGTGTGTCAGTGGTAGCCTTTGATTTTGCAGGCTTGGGTTCAAGATCCCCTCCCAACCTCAGTTTTTGACCTTTAAAATGTACTTTTCTACCTCATTGGGAGGTTGTAACAATAAAGCTTCTGAGCTGCTCGGGTGCTGTGCTAACAGGCTTGTAGACCCACATCTGGGCCCTGAACTGTGTTTCCTTCCTCTTTGCCACAAGGTGTTGTGGATCAGTTTTAAAACCATGGGGCTTTCTGTAGAGACTGAACACTTTTCTCAGGACTCCCAATCCCTTCCTATCCTGACTTTGTCTTGACATTCTCATTAATCTGCACACGAAGATGAATGCCGTGCAGCCATTTAAATTTAATTGCAGAGCCTAATCATGCCTTCCTCTGATCGATCACAGTATTAAACAGGAGAGTCTTTATTAGTTGGGAGTAATATCTTCAGTGGTAACTAGAGAAGCAGGAGGTGATGGCAGATATCAGGAAATCTAGTGTGAGAATATATTAAAGGACAACCATTATTTATGAAAGTTTCTAATATGACCTCTGTGGCTCAAAACACTGGAGGGTGCAAGAAAAATGAATGTTATCCACATTCCTAACAAGTTTTCTACTCATCAATTTATAATAAAACTTATAGCTGTTAGAGACCTCCAGGCATTTTCCTGCCTCAGCAGTTTAGTGGAGAACATTTCAGAGTTAGTACCAGTATAACTATTTCAGGTCCTGTTCTGGGTCTGAAGGAGGCTTATGTAGTATAGGTTAGTCTTTCCTATCTTTTATTCCCTTTGAACTGTGTGTCCATACTGTAACGTTGGCTCTGTGTTTGTACAGAGCCCAGCACAATGCAATCCTGGCTCATGAGCTGGGGCTTTTCTGGGTTCTTTGGGGACACAAAGAATACATAGTTAGCATGGTAAAACTTGTGTGTATAGATAAGAAGCCAGATCCTTTTCCCCCAGTTCAGGGTCCATGTGGTACTTGGTGTGATCCATTGCCACAAAAGAAGGATAGATCATTCTCCCTTTTAAGACTAAGGTAGACAGACGTAGCGTTTGCAGGCAGGGCGGCTTTACCTTTAGATGCCATCCAGATGCCTAAATGATGGAACAGGAGCTGACCCAAGGTGACCAGGCTTGGATATCAGCCGATAACAGGTTTTGCCATCTTGCAAAGGGACATCAGGTCTTTTGAGGGATGAAAATGCCTCATCAAGATCTTTCCAGAGGAGTGTAGGCCATGTGAGGTCGGGTCTTTTCTTCTTCATTTGGATTTGGTGAGACGTCCCCACTAGGGCACTGGCTTCCTGTGTGAGCCTTGTGAATTCGACTTCTCTGGATGCCCGCTCACCACACTGGGTGGGTAGAGGGGTTCAGCAGTACCTGGAGGCTGAGGCACTGCTAAGCTCTCTATGGCCTCCACGTGGACTGTCACATGGGCCATTTCATGCCTTTTCCCTTCAAAAAGTGGTTTGGAAAAGGAAGGGGAACAAAGGCATCCGGAAACTTGAAGCAGCAGCCTCCCCAGAGCAGCAGACGCCTCAGATGAGCTGTCTTGCCATCCTTTGCGCCTGCACGCCACAGCCCAGCTACTGGTGACACGAGGAAGCCATTAAGTGGCACCCAGGTCTCCTTCCTGGGACTGATGGTTTTGAGCCTCATCAAAGCAGCAGCGTATCCTGTGAGACTCCTTGTATCCCCGGGTGTGTGGCCTCCCACTTACCCTTTCCCTTTTGCCTTTTTTGTGAAGGAAGCACTGTGAGAACAGTATTGAGTTGCTTCCTGGGGCACAGAGCTCTGGTAGGTAGTAGGGCTGTGTGAAACAGCTGTGTCGTTCTGGTTTCAGATTCGGCCGTTTCAGAGGACAGCGATTCATTTCAGTGTTTTGGATCGCTGTTCTGTTTCGATTTGGCCGAATCTGTTTGAGTTTTGGTGCCGATTTGGAGATTCGGATCAGCTGGGCAGAGGCAGGCACAGCCGGGCGGCTGCAGGTCCTCCTGCGGCTCCTCTGGCTGTGCCTGCCTCTGCCTTGGCGGGGGGAGCTGCAGCAGAAGCCCCCATGGCTGCCCTGCTCGGCCCCAGCCCCCCGGCACTTTACAAGGAGGGCTGCGGGGCTGTGCTGGACTATTCCCAGGGGGGCACCTCCGAAACATTTTGGATGGCTTCATTTCAGAGCCTTCCCTTTCAGATTCGGTGTTTCAGGCGCCAAAATGGGCCAAAACAGCTCCAAAACGAAACAGCTGCCCAAATTTCGCACAGCCCTACTGGTAGGTGTCTTGAGGGAAGAGGTCTATGCGTGGCGGCCCTGCCAGTCTGAGGTAGGAGCCCAAACCCAAGGGCTTTAGTTTTGCCTGAAATTTGTTAAGCCATTCTCAAGCTGCAAGCGTCTCACAGCTTGTTGAGGGCTGGATTTAGGAACGCCCTTACACAGTTTACTCCTGGCCATATTTTTGACTGGCCTAGTTGTCCATAAGCAGTACTGCTATTGCGTATAGAAATCCCAGCTGCGGACTTACGCTACGTGGCTTACAAGGACAGAAAAGTCATTCTGTAAGCTCCTCGGGACAAGGACTAGAACCCAGAAATTCAACCGGGTACAGACACCTGCCTTTCTGCATTGGGAGTTAAATGCTTAAATCATTTGAAGACTGTCACCTTAAAACACTTAGCTAGGCATTGTTCCTGAGCTGAGGACATTGATAACAAATGTCCCCACCCATCCAAGGCCCATCTTGTCCTTGAAAAGAACTTGTCCAACCCTTCATGAAGCTTTTATCTCAAAGGCCTCCCTCCCCATGGGAGGCATTGGAAAATCAGAAGTTATAAATATTAAAAGTTTTTGCTGTGGCATCTGCAGTCACTGAGCAAACCTTATCATGCTGCACACCCGCTGCTGCTACAGCTCCACAGGTCTCCGCAGACTAAAGATTATAGATGCTTTAATCATACTATGTATTAACTGGAAGGGAAGATTGAAGTACCAGGCAGAGAGGGGCATAAATCACTCCTGCTATTATTTGATTTTTATCAAACTTTTTTTTCTTTACATAGCACAAAAGGCACCTTTATGAAAACACATCTTGTATCAGCCTCCCCTCCCTTCCTGCCCCATTCCCAAATCAGAATAGCTGATAAGTTGTGTTTGTGTATCCGTATATACTGCCTTTAGCTTATTTTTCTAAACTCATTCATTTAAAGGCCATAAATATCAAAGCCATTCCAACCTGCAGATAAGTGCAGTTCACCAGAAACTCGAGAGATTTTTCTCTCTTTCTAGTTAAAATCCAAGTGACCGGTGTGGTGTGTTGTTCTGTTAATCTACTTGGATTTTTTTTTGTTTTTTTAAAAAGATCTTTATCGTTTTTTAATTAAAAACTATAGCTAGCAAGAGGGGGAAAGTGCCAATGCCAGCTGAAGGCATGGGGCAGGGTTGGTGTCGGCTATGCGCAACCGCGGAGCAGCAGGAAAAAGGACATGTTCACACTGATCTCTCTAAATTGGGAGCTTTCAGAACAACTTGGTGCCTGCAAAGCAAGGGCATGTGGTTAGGATGCTGTTTGACCAGCCTTTCCGTACTGGAGAAAGTTAACGCATCTAGCAAAGGTCTGTGCTTGGTGCCACTTTCGCTTAAGTTGTCCAAAGAGGAGGTAGTTTGGTATAAGTGGTGCTTCGACTCAGTCTGTATTACCCACATTATTACAGGTCTTCAGAAACAAGGTCGAGGAAGACTGAGCTTGGCTATGAAGTATCCAAGCAGAGCTGCATGCTCTAGGTATCTTATAAATCACATGGAAGCTTGTTCTTACTCCTCACAGCTGCCAATGGCATTACTTCTTGAAA